GTTGTTCTGGAAAGAAAAGTTTGAATTTCTTTAGTGAAATCCGAATTTATAAATATAGAATAGAAAAAATTCGCTCGCTTTTATAACTGATGCGTGACCATTAACTAAATATGAGTAAACTTTATACCTTTTTTTTGATACTTCTGAATGTTTTCGTAAATTTGTAATAGCATTTAAAAGTGATTTAACTAACAAAACTGCCTCTTTTGTGGGGCCAGAACGTACATTTGTTTACTAACTTGAAGAAGAAGATATTCAATATAACGAGCAAGTACCAGGAAAAAGTCCAAGAAAGTAACTAGTTGGCATCCGTAATTTTCTTTTTAATAATACCTTTAACGTTTCTATAATACCTTCACGCATGCCATTATAACACAACCGTTCCTACCTAGTAAGAAAAACGTTGAAACATATAACTTATAACACATATTGATCGATGTAGGAGGTAAATTAAATATTTAGGAGCGCTGCCTTGAATTTTCACACCCGTTTAAAACGCGGAGTTTATACAATACAATAAATAGGCAATCCATAGCTTGTAAGAAATACTGACCCGAAAAGTGCTATTAATATTTGCACAAATAACACTAATTGACACGCCCACATTAAAAATATGTTTTGCATTTCTATAAAGGTTTGGTTTATGGTTTGATGGGTATCAAAGATTTGCTATAGGGAGCATATAATTTGCTTACTTTTTGTTTTTCAGTCAAATATATTTTGCTTTCGTGCTTATACCTGTACATGTCCCTGAGCTAAATATTTTTTTAACCCACTAATTACACCTATACAAATAATATGAATTTATATGAAAAGTTATTATTATTTAAACATATGTATTTGCACATAAAACTTGCGAACATTTTTTTCACTCTTTAAACAAACATTGGCTTTTATTAACCACCACAAGCTTGTCTTAAGATGGTTGTTGCAAGCGCAATATACGAACGCAAGTGTTGTGTATAAAACTGTGCGGTTTCATAGCATGTAGTAAAAATTTTGCACTTACTATACTTGTTGTTTAGCTTATTTTTTCTTTTTATACCCATCACCGAAGGATAAGTGGTATATTCATTTTGTCAAACCATTTGCAGGGCCCAGAAGTAACCATCAGAGACCCCACAAAGTACAAATATTCTTGATCAGCATCAAACCCTAAATCGATTGCAGCATGTCCGTCTGTATAAAGTCTGTTGTAAACATTCTCCTAGCCGCAAAAATGAAGCTATCGATTTCAAATTTGGCAAAAACCGTGAAAGTTCTTGCGCGCAGATTGGTATCGGAAATGGACGAATTTGTTCAAGGGCAGGCCCACGGCACCACAAAGGCAATGAAAAATTGGTTTTTTGCTCATTACTCATAAACTATAGCAAATAAACGTACAAACATTTGCGCAAAGAAATCGAAAAAATTGACCATGCCTACCCAATATTATAGTGTATCAAAATTTAATTATTTTTTCAATATCTCTTTAACGTGCAGAAACAAGCTTCAAAATTACCACAAAGTATACAAATTTTTTGCCCGTTACAAACCTTGAATATGCCTAAACATGCCGCCTGTTCGTCTGTTTGAGCAACTTTGTAGTATTTGTAAACGTTTTCCCGTAAGTGCAAATAAAAATATTGCCTACATATTTACAAAAGAACTTTGAATTGATCTAAATTCTTCGAAGGACACGCCTACAACGCCTGCACGCCTCTATGACAAAAACTTTTATTCTGAAAATAAAAGAGAGCAACTGTGCCCACTCCATATTATGGAACATGAGAATTTTGTTCCTTTACATATTTTTGTCTCTTTTAGAATAACGGTGATGGGTATAAAAGATTCGTTCCCGACCGAATTCAACTTTCTTGCTTTAGCATTAACTGTTCTTTTTATTTTTTTATTTTTTTTATTTATCAGGTTTTTAAGTAAAAGTAAACATTCAGTTAGAAATACTTCGTGTTCACGTGTAAAGCAGTAGAGCTATCTACATATTTGTATTTATTTTTAAATTCATGACCGAATGATGAAAGTAGAATAATTTTGTTAAAACGTTTGCAACGTCTAAAAGATAGATTCAGGGACCCCATAATGTATAAGTATTCTTGGTAAGCATCAAATTCTGAATCGATTTAAAGTTGTCTGTCAGTGCGGATGTCCTTCTGTTCGTCTGTATAATGTTTATGATAAACATTCTTCTGAACGCAAAGATGACCCTAGAGACTTCAAAATTGACAGAAACATTGCAAGATCTTTCGCGCATGTTGGTATTGAAATTGTTCGAAAAACACACCCACAGTATTACGCATACTAAAAAAACCTCAATTTTTCAAAAGGAATAAAAGATTTTTTGATCGTTACTCATAAACTATAGCAGATGAATGTACAAAAATTTGCATAAGCATATTCTATGGACGATGCTGTAATACCTGTATAAAAATGGAAAATATGACAACGATTAAAACAGGTTTTAAAACCCCATCAAGAATATAAATTCTTGGCCAAGCATGTCCGTCTACCTAACGGTACAGTATCTGTGGTAAGTATTCTCTCGTTCGCAAAAATGAAGATATCACTTGCAAATTTGCAAAAGAATTAGAAACTGATTTGAAGCTCGTTAAAGGACAGGCTTACAACGGGCACCCGCCTATGCAACAAAAACTTCTATGTTGAAAACAGAAAAAATCAGCCTCACCCATTTCGTAGTTCTATTACTTTTCTTGTCTTTTTTAGGATAACCGCGTCGGGTATAAAAAATTCGATCGCGACCGAATATAATTTTGTTGCTTGTTTCATTTCACTTCAACCAGGTAACGTACTAATGTTTGGTATACTGTTAGGTTTTTGTATGATTTTTTTCTGCTTGGTTTGCTATTGCTGCTGCTTACATGCTTAAACTACTATTCATCCCTGCGTAATTCATTAGGCAAAGTATCACCAGTTGTTAGTAGAAACATTACGAGCTGTTTACGCTTGCAAAAAATATAATTATCTCTTAACAGAAAGAATACGAGCCAAAACCGTTTTCAAGAGATCATGTAAACAAGAAAAAAACGAAAAAATGTCAAATGCTTAAAGTAAACACAATAGAAACACCGGATGTTATAATCAGTGATTATTATCACACAATCATAGAAAAGATGGCAAACAACATCACATAAAATTACTTTAACGAAATTCTCTACTGCTTATCAGCAGTTAATTGTTATCGAACGTTGCAAGTTCCATAATGATTTCCGCAAGCGTTGTTCATGGGGAATGTAAGTTGCTTATATTATTGATGAAGAAGCCAGTAAATTGCATGGAATTAGAATAGAGTAGATAGACTCACTTAAAAGGTTAAACCCCTTTAAAATCTTGCAGATGTAAGCTTCGCAGCCAACTTATTTCTCATTGACCCATAAAACGGGTGAATTGTTTACATTATATCGATAACAAGTTTTCTTCCAGAATCATGTTCGAAAGCAAATTAATGGTATAAGTAAAATTTTCTCAAGTCTCTTTAATATGAAGTTTATAGTCCCCTTTACCCGAACAAGCATAAGCTTGGTATGAACTGCCACTAACTAAACGCTTGGCATTGCAGGTATTCGAATCGATGTGAAGGTGGTTGGTGGTACTACAAATCAAACGGCTACGAGTAGGTGTGGTTCCAAAATGTAGACTAATGATTGCATGAGCTTAGTGCAGTTATTATAAAATTGCAGACTTGGTCCCACATGAACACAAACCTTTTATTATATATATATTATTGTCATTCTAATATACCTAATTACTCCATCAAAGAAAAGGCCCGTTTTTATTTTCGCCGTGAAGTTTCCTGCGATTTAGATTAACTTTAACCCTAATTTAAAATGTTGTTATTTCTTAAGTGGGGCACCACGGTTAATATGTTTGCAATTGTGGATTTAATGATAAATCGGTTGAACTCATCTTCTCATGCAACTGATATTGACAGAGATCATTTTCTTTACTTCCTTGTTAACTAAAATTAATTTTAATTATGAAATCAAGTTTAAAAAATTTCTCATTAGAAAACCCACCTACATATTTTTAAACTGCTTTTTTTAATCAATCTTTAGCTTCAGTATATCAAAAGAAAAGTTTAAATTTTGCGTATATTAACGAAAAAGTGCTTTTAAAAATATTGATCAAATAAATAAAATATTTCTCATGTATTAATACATTGTCTAAAGATATTGAAGTCGTCTTCTACATAAAAAAAAAATTAATTTTCAATAAACTATTTCACTACACATACAACAGGAAAAGTAAAAATAATAAATAAGGAAAATGTATATAAATTCGCCGTGAAGCGCATCTTCGATACCCTTTACTACAAAAATTTTGCTAATTACAACCCGGCACAATGGCACACGATCGGATTGTTAAACAATTCTAAAAAGTGTTAAGAACCTAACAATAGGTACGATTATTTAAAAATCAATCCCGTCGCTTTCGCTCGTACATAAGCGATGTTATTCTTAAGTATTTTAAGGGCGAAAAAATCACTAGGTGGAAATTATACCTTAATGTTTGCAAATTTTTCGATTTTGTGTCAAATTTGTTTTTACTGTGAGCGCATTTGAACACTTGTCGTCAATATATCAATACATATTATATATAGGAATTTTTCGATATCTTGAGAATTGCAACAATAAACAATAAATGAATAGACGGACGGACGGACGGACGGATGTGCACGGCTGCATCTACAGCCATTTGCTGGCTTTAACAAATTTGATAAAAATATGTACGCTGCGGTGATGGATAAAAAAAAAAAAATTATATAATAAATTTGCGAAATAAAGTACAAAGAGGCGAAATAAAGTAAAAGCTGAAAATGCAACCATTCCCAAAACGATAGTAAAAAGTTAAATTAAAACCGTTCAACCGAAGCCAAAGTGTGTAAGAGATGAAAGAAAGAATGTATATAAAAAAAAAAAAAGAAAAGATATTTGCGTAAATATACAAAAGCAAAAATACCAAAAATGCGTTTATCTTCTGCCTACCATTTCTGGTCTCGAAAATACTTCCTGAGCGCGTAGAGAATCTTCCAAAGATGTCGTCTTTTCTGGTAGAAATATGGAAGATTTGCCGCTTGTTGTTGTTGAACCATTGGTTACCATATCAGATTTTTGTGCTGCTAAAGTGGACGTTGAATTTACTTTGGAAGCATGCGACAGACGTTTCATGTGTGTCCATACCTGATGCCAAGGAATAACGTCTTTCTAGGAGATTTTTGTTTTGTTTTTCAATTTTTTTTTGTGATATTTGCGAAAAAGGAATAAAAAACAAAAGAAACAAATATAAATTATATATATATAAGGATAAAGAAGAAAAGCTAAAAAGGAAATAATAGCCAATTAAATTAAGACAAATATTTATAAATTAATTACTAAGGCGCTTGATAGACTAATGTTATGCTTTTCTTCTTTTTTTGATCTTCTTCTTTACAATAGTAGTTTTATTATTTAGTTTTTTATTTTCTTATTGTTTTTATCCATTAACTCATAAAAAAGATTTAAAAAGAAGCGCCGGTTCCGATAGTTAATGTTTTTGCTTTGCCTACCTTTCTTGAATTTTCTTCTATCGTCATAATCTCCACCATAACTTTGGTAATTTTCTTACTGAAAGATTTTCTCCAATGTTAATAATTTCCAAACCACTCCCTTCTTATTAATGACAATTATATAAAGGCAAACGTATGTATGTATATGTAAACGGCTTTATAGGGGTTCGAAACCCTTTCGGTTGTCAAAAATTCAATCTTTCGAGACAGCAGTTTAAAACTACTACTACTGCGTAGCATTTGGCCTTGTTTGATTTACTTTTGCAGATTACTTCGAAAAGTACAAAAATTTTTAACTAAACTTAACGCTATTGTTTTAGCCGACGTCACTTAGAGCAGGGGGTATATTAAGTATGTATAACTGTAAACGATATCCAGAAGGAGTCGAGAGTTGAGTCCTTTTACTAAACCGCTCGAATCAGAATCACTTTCTACATCGATATAAGCTTCTCTGACCGTCTTATGTTGTTGTGCGCAACCGATGCTCAACAGATCGCAATTTTTGAGATATTTGGTGAAATTTGGCACACCTATCTGTTTTCACCTAAGGACGAACGCTATTGAAAATAGGATAGAACCACATTTTTTATCACTTCCTTTATAAAGCCTTCTTTACGAAGTATTGCTAGGTGAATAACGTCTGTCGCTAGATTAAGCGAAGTGACGTATAGGGTGTTTTCACTTGTTTTTAGTTTAAGTTTTCACTAGTTGTTCGATAAGATTTCAAGAACTTTTTTAGGCCTCTATGGTAGACAAAAACTTGCCGGATGACGTACCATACGTCGGTGACCTTGATCTGTGATTTAGTTTTGCTTGAGTGAACTTGCAAAAATATATAATAGCGACGCCTATGAGAAATCAATTTTAATATTTATTGATAAAAAATTTTTCTACGAAACCAGGTGGAAAAAGCATTTACGCTGAACGTCTGAATTAGTTCACCTTCAGCTTCAATTACTAACCAATAAATGTTTATTTATATCGCACAATCTGAATGCCTTCAGCTTAGACTACTAGGATCAAACCTCCTAATTTCTGTGGTTTGCACTTGGACGGGTGATTCCCTTTTATTTTATTTATTTTTTAGAAGAAAGCAGAGAGAAAAGCAGCTTCAAAAATTAGTGCTTCAAAATTTTGTTATGATTAACAAATAAGAAAACTATAATCGGTCGTGACCTAATCTTGTGTGCCAATCACCTTTATACGAAAAAAGACTAAAAAAAAAAAGTAAAACAATTCAGTTTTCATGCTTTACAATATCGAGCGGGCGATTTCATAATGAAAGTTTTTGTTGCATAGGTATGTGGGCGTTGCAGGCGTGTCGTTTGATCACTTTGGGTCATTTTAAAATTCTTTTGCAAATTGGTAGGAGATATATTCATTTTCGCAAACGGCAGAACGCTTACTACAGATACTACACGGTCGGGTATATCGACGGATGGACAGAAGAACATGCTTAGATATATTTCGAATTTCATACTACCCAAGAACTTATATAGACCATGTGGGGTATAAAAGCATTGAAAAAAAAAATTAAATTTTGATACACTATAATACTGGGCAAACGTGATCAATTTTTTCCATTTTAGTTCAGGTACTACAGTATTGTTCATAGAATAAAGGGTGTGAAGATAAATTCGAATTTAACTAGTAAAGACACCTACCATTTCTGTTAACATACCTCTGTTAACGACTTAATAGAGCTCATGTTAAATAATTACAATTGAGATATAGTTGGTTTGAAAGCCTAATCCGTCCATATTAAAAAAAAGAAAATATTTTTGTGGACATTTCGTGAATCTATATAAAACTACCTTTCAAGCAAACTAAACAAATTCAAATTCTGCTTATGGGAACTATTTTTAACGGTATTTGAAATTTGGTATGTTAGCGAAAAATGCATATGAAAAAACACCCAAATTTGATACTCTAGTGCGGCCAAACTAGAAAATGTCGCCTATATTCACCTATATCACGTGAATCTATATAAAAGTACCTATCGATTGAGCAAAAAAAATTCACACTTTGCTTTTAGGAACTAGCTATGTTATGGCAACATACCAAATTTCAAAAAATCGGCAAAAATGAGTAAAAAACCAATTTATTCTCCTCGAAAAACAGAAGTTTTCTTGGTTTATATGGTATTGTAGGGAGAATTTTTGGCCGATTTGATCGAACCTATGACAAAGACCTTTTAATATTTGTGCCAAATTTAAAGCCGATAGCTTCATTTTTATGGCCAGGAGAATGTTTACAACGGACATTACACATACGGATATGCTTAAATCAATTGAGAATTTGATACTAATAAAGGATATATACACATTTTGGGATCTTTGAAGCTTGCTTGTCGACGTTGTAAACGTTTTCACAAAATGATCATACTCCTCATCCGTCGATGGTGGGTATAAAAATATTGGCAGATGATGTGTGTCACGTCAACTTCAACCGAGACATACAGTTATTACGCGATAATAATTATAGTAAGCTCAGCAGTATTCGAAATGATTGTTACAAGTAACCGAAATAATGGCGTTTCATATTAAAAACGGAATAATAAAGGAAAAAGGCAAATTTGTAATTGGACGAGAGAAAAAAGTTGGATTTAATTTTAATTCAAAACATTAGCCTTAAGTTGTTAATGAAATTGTTTTTTGTGTACATTTGCACAAATTAAATGCTCATTTAAATATTCATTCATGACACAAAGAGAGAAACGAGTACTCGATGTATATGCAAATGTTTTTTTCCGCACTCTGGCTATAACGGTAATGAATGGAAAGACTCAAGTATACGTGAAAAAAGGCGTAGAATGTGCGATGCGTCATACACTTGAGTGCATGTAACCTCCCGAAAAAACGACCATAACAATAAAAACAAAATTTTTTTGCATTTAATTGTCAAGTGCAACACGGACAGCGGAAGCGCACAAAAAAAAAAGGAAAAAAATACAGAAAACGCAATAATACCAAATCGTTTTTTCTTCTCTTTTCTTGTGTAGAAGCTTTAGTGGTTTATTAAATATGACGAACAATACAATGCTGCTGCGATAAATGCAAAAAAGAAGTAAAACTGAGTAAAAGATAATTTAAAAAACATTTCTTTTTTTTTTTTTTGGATGCCAACAATAAGCAAGTGAACAAGTCATTAAAAGGAAATAACAATTAAACATAAATACATATCGAACGATATATGTCAATAGACTTGTTTTATAATTGTTGAATAACTTCTTTAGACCCCCTTGCTATAAGTGTATGTGTCTACTTAAGCAAACATGTGTGCACGGGCGTAAAATACCGTGGTGTGCTCACGTTGTAATATTTGTGTGTTCCAATTTCAATATATTCTAAGAACAGGAAGCAACGAAGGTATTTTATATATATATATATATTTACCGAGTTGAGAAAAAGGTCATATTTGATATGCATTACATAGGCAGCAAAGTACAAATATTTGTGAAATACGAGAGAAAGCAGGTTTTCTATATAGAAGAAAGTGTGTGAATACTTTGTGTCACATATTTTCAACATCTTTTATTTATATTTTATTTTACTTCTTAGACAGTTTAAACGATGTAGTTATAACACGTGTGTTTTACAATGCCTTCCAGTACCTTTCATTTAGAAATGGGCTTAGAGATTTCGGTGTTTTTAACGGAACATCAATAGATACTTGGAGGTGGAAATATACTAATGTTACTTATCTCCAACTATATCCAAAGAGATCCAAACCCAAACAATCATTCGCCTGGCGGTTTTTCTACCCATCCCCAAGCTTAAATCCTTCGTTTTTCCGGAACCTCTTCGCCTATCTCTCTTGTTGACCCTTCCGTTTATCACCCCGTTTTTGTATGCCTGTATGTGCTCGATCTGCCCACTCATTTCCCTCGTCGGCCTGTCTGTTTGACCAAGGCTTCCGAAAGTTGTGGTTAAAGTTTCCAATCTAAATGGAAAAGAAAGGATTTTTGGAACAATTCGAATTTTATTCATCAACATAATTCTCTCCGAACATGATACAATCAATCCTACGGTCTGCTAACATCTCGATACCCCATTTTTATAGAAAAATTTTTCGACATCTTTACGCATTAGTTCCCACTATTTAATTTAATAATTTAGTCATTTTATCCGAATTTTTTTCCGCGTCGGGTCTTTTTGAGTTTCATCGACAGACAGTATTCTGGAGATTGTGTATAGAGAATACCCTGTTGTGGACAGGAAATCGAACTTCTGTTCATGAAGTTTCTCATTGTAGCCATTGAGTCTGTGAGTTTGGTCCACTATGAGCAAACAGGGCACTCAAAGTGTCGTTAGCTTTCTCACATACGTAAATCTTCATTCAATACATGGCAAGTATGTTCTGAGCTGCTACCCACAGCATCTGCTAATTCGCTAACCTGGCTCCCGCGGCCGTGAATTTGATGAGCTTGACCGAAGTTTTCATCACTGGGTACACTTTTTTTAGTCTTCCCGAATATTCATCTTGACCAGTTTCAATTTAGCAATCCAAAGTTTCACTGCGCTAAATGATGGGTACCTCCAATGCGATTTTATATCCATTAATGAAGGAAAAATTCGAACGTATGTTATATCGACAACGTGGTAGGACTTGTTTGAAAATGGAAAAAATTGATCACGGCTATCCAATATGCGTATCAAA